TCATTTATTTAATCATTTAGCATATTGTAATAGCAACTTCTGATATTTTGAATATTTTTATTCATTACAAATTTATAACTTCTCTTATAATTTAATTATAATAAAAAAAAATAAAAATAATATAATTATAAATAAATCAAATCTGCTATTTAGTTATTAATCTATGCTATGATCTGAACCTCTTGTAAGATTTTTAGGAAAACCTGTTTAAAAAATTGTTTTATGTGCAGATTGGGAGTTGATGGCGGAGATGAACAATTCAGTTTATGGGAACCCGAGTTCACTGACGATCCACAATGAGAAAAACATGAAATCAGGTGAGTTCATTTCCGAAGTTTTAACTTGTCGCTCACGATCAGTGAAACTTAACAAATAATCCATCACGTCGTATTCGTAATCGAACGTGTCCCACGATCGCGACGTACGGAACGTGTGATACGGCGCGTAGAAATTTCGCGGTGGAGAAAAGTAAATGCAAATGACAAAAAAGTTTCGCTAGCTCCGCTGACGAAATGTACCCTATTCTCTTCAATCTTGATCTTTTTTCGAAGAACCCATCGATCACTCGGCAGACAACTCTCATGGGAAACTGACGGAATACGCGGGCGGGTGCCGCGATGTGGAAATACAACAAAAATGTAATAACGTGATAAAGTTAGTTGGCGAAATAAAAGAAACTTTATTAGGCTGTACGTGCGTATCTCCGGTCCATTAAGCAATTACGATCGAAATTCAATCAAATATTTAACAACATAATGAAAGAATTATTTAAATAGTGTAAATAATGCTTAAAAAAATATGAAATGTTAAATGAATTTCACTCGAGATAAGTCAATTGCACTGAGTTCGTCTAACACGATTTCAAGAGAAGTCGTGAAACAATAAAGAAGCGGATTACAACGTGGGCGGAAAAGATGAAAGGGTTTAAAAGCTGCAAAAATCGCGGAGGATGAGAATTTGCGAGAAGTACAAGCGGAAGCTCGTACATGGTGTAAAATCTAAGGAGGCGAAGGTAGACAAGGGTGGTAGCAGCCCCTCGAAGGGGTGATGCTCTCCGTAACATCAATATTTCATGTATGCTAACACGGCAGAACTAATAATGCTCCCTGCCGAGGAAGCGCCCAAGAATAATATCAGCCACCGGCGTGCTCCCTTCCCTCCGCTCTCTATCTTTTTTCCCCCCTGTCGCCTTGGGGAGGGCCCCGTCGAACCGCCGAACCTTTTCTTCCTTGTCGAAACGGAAAAGTAAGAAGCTGTCTTCGTGCTAAATTTAATCTAAGAAAGTGCGATGCTCTTTTCGAAAATTCGAGGCCGCAGCGTGGCGACGCCCGCCACGTGCCCGGGCCGTTGCATCCGAGACGCAAACTGCTAACACGCGGCAAGGCCGAGTCGTCTGAGAACATAAAGGAAAGACAAAGAGCTATAGAAGACGCGCGACGTCGTGCTCGCAAAACGCCCTGTGTTCCTCCGTGAACGAGGGAAAGAGAGAGGAGAAGGGCTGTAGCAGCGGGGGTGGAGGTTTGTAATTGGCGCAACATCTGCGGTCTGCGGGGTGGCATTAATGTTTGCTACCCTCGACGCTTCCCTCTCCTCTCTTTGTGTACGGCAGTCGCCTCTTCCCTCCTCGCGTTGTTCTTCGTTTAGCGAGCGTGGTCTTTTTAATCTTTTACCCTTTCTTCATTCTTTTCTTCCGAGATCCCTTTTTCTTTTTCATTCGCCGCGTTGCTTTCATTCTCGCCCAGGTGAATTGAGCCGCGAGCAATTTCTGAGGGCTTCAGCCGCTCGGGAATGTGTGTCGCGTGTTTCTAATTAAGGAACGATTAGGATTTCCTGTTTAAGAATTCGAATAAAACAATATTTGTTAAACTACACATTTATTATACTTACACATTTTTACTCGTGTACAACTTTTTTAAGCCCGCGAATTGAAGCGTGAATTGCGTTGGCGTTCGTATTTATCAGAAACCAGTTACTCGTTACACATAAAATAAGGGAACAATTAACGACCGTTCGGGCACGGTATAATCGATTGATCGGAAGGTACGTACGTTTCATCCTTTACGCCGCGCATTAACCAAGCAGATCGTTCGATAGTAACGAAATTATACATCGCCGCATTAATTACCGTTTATCGTCACCGCGATTGTTTAATCGAATAATTTGGCGAATGAAAACTTAATTAGTTTCCCGGTCCTCTGTGCGAAAGCCCACCAGGCTCGGTTTTCATTCCCGGGTTATAATCGCTAGTTTGTCTAAATTTTAAACTGGCCAATTGTTTCGTATCGAATCTATGAGCGATGCGGAATAATTAAAACGAGATAATTCAACAGAATCGACACAATTTCATTAGAAGCCAACAAATTGTATTATATTATATTTAATTAGAGATTGGAAATAAAGTCATTAAACGTTTTATTTTAATCATCTTTCACGACAATTTTATTGATCAAGTAACATACTTTTTTTTTTAAGGCTTCTTATCTGATTTTTGATATTACTACAAATTTTTGTCTATTCCTCATGAAGACTCTATGTTTTTCGAAAATCGAACTCGTTCAATTCGAATCACGTCCTTAAACGCAGCTCATGCGGCCGCAGGCCGTGCGTGGGCGGGCGCGCATACGTATCAGGTGGTGTAATGCGTCAGGGCAAAGTAACAATGGCAGATGTAGCCCGGCGGGCTGTGGGTCGGCGGAGTATCGTGACATCTTGCGCGGACCGCACATATACGCCCTTAGGTGTCCCTTAATTCCCCGGGGGACCGTTGTTCGCCTGTAATTCTGTGGGAGAACGTACAGAGATTGGCTTAGTCGCATGCCTGCATATAGATAAAGCGACCGGCTCCTCTCTACACTCCTATCGTGAGCCGGCACATACGATGCTACGCGACACGGGGTGTCGGTGGTAAGCCGAGAGGGAACGTGGCTGAAATGCCTCGAATGCATCAACGGCATCAACACCGGCCTGATTAAATCTACCGAACGCTCGAATCATGATAAACGATCGAGCTATTTTCATATTAACACTGTGCACCGCCCAGTGGGACTGACAAGTGAAACTCAGTTTAAATGGTTATCGTTGTCAGAATAATAATCCTTACGAATTGATCTCGTGATATGATTAATCCATTTGCAATTTTTCCGTCTATTATCACTAGACTGATTTTCGTCCATTTATAAAAGACAGGTCTATTAAATTTGAATAGTACACTTAATGTGCAAAGTGAATATGACACTTGATTCGTAAATCATATCTAAATTTCATTCTTCAATTGTCTTTCCTAAATATTTTATCTTGCAATAAAACTCGCGGTCTAATTGTTACTAAATTAAGGATGCATT